TGGTCAGACCCCCGCCCCGCCGGGCCTTGTCGGGCCTCTGATCCCGAGGTGGGACAACCGAGGCCTGAGCGCACCCGAATGCCTTTCGCGGGCCTGGGTACCGCGGGAGCGGGCCGATGCTGCCCTTTCTGGCGCATACCCCAGTGGGAGCCCCACAAACAAAGCAACCCCTGTGGACTAGAGCCCGGGAACCTCTGAAACGCTGACCTTTGACATTTACTTGGGCGGAGCTTGCAGGAGGCCATGCTTGTCTGGTGAGAAGGGGTCGAGGCCCAAGTCTTGGTGGGGAAGCGGCTGCCAGGGAAGCAGGTATCCTGAGGGCGCGGGGACAAGCGAACAGCGTCAGTCCTCCGGAGAGCATCCGCGTGGGGGCCGGAGCCCCGGTGCGGTCCTCTGCTCCTCCTCGTGTGCCCGCACACTTGGCTGTCGGACCACCAGACCCATCACCAGTGCTTGCACTTTATGGCTGCCACACCTTCCAGAGACCCCAGCACTGGGCCTCCCCTGAAAAGCAGCCTCCACTTACCCTAGCTGTCAGCAGATAGGGCAGGATCCAGAGCTGCCAGCATCATCATAAACTGGGAACATCAGCCACCGCTGTAGTTTCCCTGGCAGCAGCCATGGGCCTCCCCGTGAACAGACAAGGAGTCTAAGCCTAGGAGGAGAGGGTGGATTCACAGGAGCCCCACTTCTGGATCTTGGACTCCTCTGCCCTCACTTGGTCCACCAGGGCAGCCTGTCTCTGGCCCTTGCTCCTGGACAGTCAAAGCTGCTAAGGGCCAGGCCCAGAGCAGCTTGGGATGCACAGGTGGCACCAGCCCCACACACCTGGCTCTGAGATGAAACCCCCATCTCCTGTCTCACTAGGCCAGGCTGCTGAGCCACTGAGTAGCTGGACAGGCCTGGAGTCTTCCTGATCAGGGGAGGCAGCCCCGAGTAGTGTCCAGCAGCTTGTGTGAGCAGCGGTCCCCAGGGGACAGTGGAGCAGGCCTGGGGCCCTGCTGCAGAAAGTCCCATCACTCCCCACCCTCTGTCTGGACTTAGCATGGGCTGTGGGCATCTGGCTAGGCTGTGGGGGTTTGTCCAGGAGGGTATTATGTACTTGCTCCTCAGGTGGCCAGGAGGAGTGATGGGAGGATCTGGTGGAGGGGAAGCTGCAAAGGTGTCAAGGTGTCAAAGGCCAGAAGGCCCTGGGAAGCCCCTCTCCCCAGAGAAGAGCCCCAAGCCAGTTTGATCTCAGCTTTGCCTGTGCAGGATTCTAGCTCCTGAAGTCTGTGGAAGGACAGGCAGACATGCCAGTCTTGGCTTTGAAGCAAGTTTAGGTTGGTGTCCCTACGTGGGAGTATCAGGAGGGGCAGAGATGAGGTAAAGTGAAGCTTCCCCCTTCAGAGGCTCAGATCCTAAGGCATGAATACCTCCAGGCACACAGTAGTATGTTGAGGTTCACAGATTAGGGAAGAAGTCCAGGAAGACTCCAAGGACTGAGCAGGCAGGCTGTGGAGGGGACCACAGAGGACGATCTCCCTCCAGAGCCACCTTGGCACAGGTCCTATGGCAGGCAGCACAATGTGCTCATCTCTCCTCTGCCCAAGTTTGTCCTGGTGGCACAGCTGCCATGAACCAGACTTGGCTTGGCCTCAGGGTAACAGTGCTGGCCTCCCTGACCATCAGGATACTTAGTGCAGTAACCCTGAGTTCTCAAATCTGGTGAGGAAAGCAGCACACAGGAAAGGTGCTACAGGCACTAGGCGGTCCTGATTTCTTCCCAAATCGGAGCTACTGTGTGAAGACAGTCAGATGGCTGTTTCGTGTGCACACAGACACATGCTAGCACATTAACCTATTGCATATGCACACAGATGCATGCTGGCCTACTACATGTGTGCACAGATACATACTGGTCTGTTGCATGTACACGCTAGCCTGTTACATATGTATACACTTGCACACTGGCCTGTTGCATGTGCACTCAGTTATGAACTGGCCTGTTGTGCAGATATACACTGGCCTGGGGCATGTGCACACGGATATGTGGTGGCCTGTGATGAGTGCACCAATATGTGCAAGCCATACAGATATGTACTGGCCCGTTGCGTATGCATGCAGATACACACTAGCCTATTGCCTGTGCATGCAGATACAGGCTAACCTGCATGTGTACAGCTCTGCATCCTTGCACCAGCCAGAGGTTGGGAAGAGCTAATGGGGCGCTCCTGCCCACACTGTCCACAGAGGGGATGTGGAAGGACCAGTGCGAGGAGTGGCCAGGTGAAGGTAGGGCATCAGATGCCATGAGGGAGCAAACATAGCAAGACACTTAAACGGGTCTGCCTGCACTGGTCATGTGGAAAGGGGCTCCTGCTCCAGCTGACACCAACCAGGGGTCCTGGCCCAGAGAAGCTCTGTGCCCCACACACACCTCACATGCCCTTGCAGATGGTGAAAAGCTGGCTGATGTGACAGATGGTCGGGGTATCCGGGTGGTGCCATCCATGCAGAGGGCAGAGGACTCCAGCGAGAGTCATGAGGAGGAGCAGGCAGTGAGTAGGGGCCATTAGAGAAGCTGGTGTGTGCACAAGGCCACTTGGACAGATGCACACAGTCCAGCCTGGAGTTCCAAGTCGCTGATGTTGTTGGGTGGCCGCATGTCTGCCTGGCCAGGTGTGACACAGCATATGGGTGTAGAGGGCTGGCCGAGTAGCCAGATGTGTGATGGGGGATGGGAAACTGTGTCTATGGTGCCTGGGCAGGTTGTATATGGCTGTAGGACTCCTCCCTGCCCTCTCTGTCCCACAGCCTGAAGATCAGGACACAAATGAGCTGTTTCCTGGGGGGGCTAGAAAGCTGCCCCCACTGAACCTCACCTATCAGGTGCCCGAGTGGCAGGAGGAGGTGAGCTCTGCCAGACCTGGAAGGGCTGGGAGGTGATGGGTTGGCCATGTAGCGGCTGATGCTCCTCTGTCCTCAGTACAAGGGGCAGGTGAACCTGCATGTGTTTGAGGACTGGTGTGGGGGCGCCGTGGGCCACCTGAGGAGGAACCTGCACTTCCCACTGTTCCCCCACGTGAGTGCCCCACAGCAGTGGATGGTGGGCGGGGCCAGGCTGTGCAGGGCAAGCTGACACAGTCCCTGCCCCCAGACCCGCACCACTGTGAAGAAGCTGGCTGTGTCCCCCAGATGGAGGAACTACGGACTCCGGATCTTTGGCTACATCCACCCAGCGAGAGATGGTGCGAGGTTGGGTTGCGGGGGGAGGGTGCCAGCAGGGCTTAGCCCTGACCCTGGCCTGTGGACTAGGAGACGTCCAGTTCTCTGTGGCTTCAGATGACAACTCTGAGTTTTGGCTGAGCCTGGATGAGAGCCCAGCAGCCGCCCAGCTTGTAGCCTTCGTGGGCAAGGTACTCTGCCCGGGTTGGTCCCTCCCCAGGTGCCCCCAGGAGAAGGTACATCCTACAACCCTGCTGTATCACCCCCAGACTGGCTCCGAGTGGACAGCGCCTGGAGAATTCACCAAGTTCAGCTCCCAGGTGTCCAAGCCCAAACGGTGAGTGACTGTAGGATTTACAAGCATTCGTGTGTGTTTGCACACAAGTGTTGGTGTGAGTGGGGTGTGTATAAGCATTCATGCATGCATGTGTGCATGTTGGTATGTGTATGACTGGGTGTGTACAAGCATTTATGTACACCTGTTGGTATGTGTAACTCAGGTGTGTACAAACATTCATTATATGCACACATTTTGCTGGTGTGGCCAGGTATGTACAAACATTCATGTGTGTATGCACATGTTGGTGTGCAACTGGTGTGTACAACTACTCATGTATATTCCCATGTGTTGATGTGTGGGTGATGTGTGTATAAGCACTCATGTGCATAGATGGTATAACTAGTATGTAAGCATTCATGTGTATGCACATGTGTTGGTAGTGACTGTTGTGTGTATAAGCATTCGTTTGTATATGCATGTGTGTAGTGGTGTGTATGACTAGGATATGTGTAAAGAACTTTGTGTACATATGTTGGTGTGTGTGGCTGTGGTGCAAATGCAAACATGCATGTGTATGTGCACATATTTGTTGGGTGTGTACAAGCACTTGTGTTTACACACTTGGTGTATGTGCATGACTGGTGTTTGTACAAGTACTGATATGCATACATGTTGGTATGTGTGACTAAGGTGTGTATACAAGCATTTGTGTGTATTCACTTGTGTGTTGGTATGTGAGACTAGCATATGTGTACCAGCATTTGTGTGCATATGCACACGTGTGTTAGCATGTGAGAAGAAGGCATCTCCTCATCCTCTGTATCCTACCACATACTGTGTCAGCACTATCCTACCCAGACCACTTGGGAGCTGCTGCCCGTCTCTGGGCTGTCCATTTGTTCTGGGTTCCCGCATGGAAAGGCACAGCCCTGCCTTCTCTCCACAGGCTCATGGCTTCCCGGAGGTACTACTTTGAACTGCTTCACAAGCAGGATGACCGGGGCTCAGACCATGTGGAAGTGGGTGTGAGTGCCTCCCCTTGCCTCCCCAGCCACCTTCCACCTCGCCGTAGGACACAGCAGTGTGGTCCCCACTGCAAAGGTCTGGGGATCTGCAGCGCCCAAGTGGCACAGAAGAGCCCTGCTGATGAGTGACATTCCACCATGACGTGGAAGAGTAGAATTAGGAGTGGGAAGTGCAGCATATTAATTCCAGACCTCGAGGGGTCCAGTAGCCAGATGGGGGTTGTGAGGGAGTGCTAGACTATATAGACTTTCCTGAGAACAAGCCAGGGGGATTTGAGCTGGTGAGGAGCCTGGGAGGGAAGAGCAAGTTGGAGGTGGGAAAGGGGTTTCCACAGCAAGACTGAGAGGGCCAGAACGTGGCTGGGGTGGGTGTGGGGGCAGGGAACCATGGCCAGGTCAGGTAGGGGTGCTCAGCCCTAGGTCCCTAAGCAGTCCCACATGTCTGGCATGTTGGTGTCACCCAGTTTAGCATGCTGTACATGTAGGCACTGAAGTGATGCTAGGGAAGCTAAGGGGGTTGGAGAGGGCCCTGGAAGAGCTGGGTATAGAAGGCCAGAGCCCCCAGGAAGCTCAGTTTGGGGCCAAGGAGAGGGATGGCATCTTCAAAGGAGACCAGAAGAGCAGCTGGGGATGGGGCAGGTGGGCCTTGGTGGGGCACTGGGTCTGACCCTTATGAGGTCATCAGTGACCTCAGGACGTCATAAGTGCAAAGCCAGAGAGCAGGAGAGGTTGCAGAAAGATCTCTGGAAGTGCAGAGGGCAGGAGGGGGAGGAATAGGGATATAGATCCAAGATCTGTATGTAGGATCTCAGCCTTCAAGGCCTCCTGCCAGGTTCCCCTTCCCGGGTGCTGATGAGCCCTGACCCATCCACCGTGAGATGCCTGCTTCCCTTGAGAGGTTGCTCCCACTCTGCCCCACCCCTGGGCCAAGGAGACCCCTCCTGCCTGCCTCAGTCTCTTTCCTGTCCCACCCCAGTGGCGCACTTACCTGCCGGGTCTAAAGTTTGAAGTCATCAGCTCTGCTCACATCTCCCTTTACACAGGTACTCTGGGCACCTGGGGAGGCAGCGGCTCTGGGGGTGGCTTGGTTGGGTGGGAAGGAGGACCTGGCTCAACCTTGGGCCCACAGACGAGTCCTCCCTGAAGATGGACCATGTGGCCCACGTGCCCCAGTCTCCAGCTAGCCATGGCAGGGGCCACCTGCCCATGGAGGAGCCCAGTGCAGACATGCTTCGGCCAGACCCCAGGGACAACTTCTTTCTCAGTGAGCTGGTGCCCACAGGGTAGAGGGACCGGGCCAGGTTGGGCTGGGCCAGGCCAGGTAGGGCCAGACCATGGCAAACCTCCCTCCCACAGCACCCCGGATGGAGCCCTCGAGCCTGGAGAGCGTGCTGGAGCCCTGTGCCTATGCACCTACCTATGTTCTCAAGGATTTCCCCATCGCCAGATACCAGGGGCTGCAGTTTGTGAGTGCCCAGATGAGAGCCCCACTGTGCTCCAGGTGCCCCCTGTCTCCCTGGAACTCTGAGCCCTTGCCTCTTCCCTAGGTATACCTATCCTTCGTGTATCCCAATGACTACACCCGCCTCACTCATATGGAGACGGACAACAAGTGCTTCTACCGGGAGTCTCCCCTGTACCTGGAAAGGTAAGTGGGCCTGGACAGCAGGGGGGGAGGGGGGGGTCCAGGTCTCTATCTAGGGTCTCTGGGGTGAGGCCTGAGCGGGGCAGTCTCTGATGCGCTGCTGCCCCAGGTTCGGGTTCTACAAATACATGAGGATGGACAAGCGCGCAGGGGAGGAGGATGCAGAGGAGGAGGTGCAGCGCCGGGCCTTCCTGTTCCTCAACCCTGAAGGTGAGCCCTCCCCTTCCAGCCCCACCCCCACTCCCA